TGTCCAAGACGTTTATTCAACACTGCTGTATCCTGGCGGAGACCTGCCGGAGTCGCCCTCCGTACAGTTCGATTGGAACGGCAGGAGAAGAAGCCAGAACTCAAGCGCTTATGATTTTTTGGCAGGAGGGATAAGGGTGGAGGTAAAATCCTCACAATTGACGCGCAGAGGATCGTCTGGAGAATGGCGATTTCAATGGATACGTGTGAAGCAGGTGTACTTCGATCGTTTGATTTTGGTTGCGATCTTGGGCGAGGAATTATTATTTTATGAGTGGGATGGTCGATCACATTTTTGCTGTAATTCGAGAAGCCGCCAAGGGGGTGGCGATATTACGTGGTCAGCTTCGCACAGACATTCCCCTGAATCAGCGGCAGAGCATTTCAAGCAGACCTTCAAGAGCACATTATTGTTGTCCTTTAAAGTGCCAGCATGCGTGTGAGTGTTGTGGGCGTGCTCGCGATTGAGGACCAGCCAGAGGCTGAATTTCTTATCTTACCGAGTTGTGCCTCGTACCTCGCATGTTCTCGGATATGCACTACTGAAGCCAACACGGCATCGAGACACCATTCAAATTTAGCAATCTTGTGATGAACACAGCATCGCGTGTTCAAGCAAACGCATCCTTAACATGATGGTGTCGATGCAAGACGCAACATGCCATTATCATCCTGTTGTTTCTGCTGCAATTGTAATGGGCAGTGCGAGTGTTTTCTATCACTGTGCATGCTCCAGCTCTTGACGACATGTCTGCCTGTTGCTATCACTCTCTCTCTCTCTCTCTCTCTCCTGGTTTGTCTGTCCTCGCTTGTGTTAATTTAAAATTATGGTTGATCCCCCTTCTTGCTGGAAAGTCAGAGACTCGACCGTGCAACACGCATGCTCACACGCTCCATCGTTCCGAGGCTAGTTCCGCTCTATTTGCGCGTCTTGCTGCCGCTGCGTTGCGCGAGAACTATACGTCTGACCAGCTCGCACGACGGCCTCATCCGTCGGCTTCATCCGTCATCTCTCTATTCCATGGTGCGGGGCACGGGCTCGATGTTTGCAGGCTGCTCGTGCAGTAGTTTGCGTTGTTGCAACAAAAAAGAAGCCAGTCGGCCAGCAGGTGCCCCGCGGAAATGTCGTGTCCCCCGATGGCCCTGGGTGCCCACAGGAGCCCCCGGGTACCTCAGGAAGGTCAAAGATCCACGAGACATGTGCTCCTAGACCACGTAGCAAGGTCTATTGTCGCACGTATCCATTGTGTCCTTCTCCTCCTCCAGAACCCATTCCTCACAATGTACTAATTAGTTGACGGTCTCGAACATGTGATGGTGATGAGTACTGCTGTGTACAGGCTCGCGTTGTACGCCTTCGGCGGCTACGCCGCTTTGTCACACTGGGCTGGGCACAAACAGCTGTTGTACGGCCCTCCCTCCTGCCAGCGCGCGCGCGCAGGGGCGAGGAGGAGGGCGAAGAGACGAGCTTTGTACCAACTGACCGCGCCACTCCACTCCTCCTCCTCCTCCTGCTCCTCCTCCTCCTCCTCCTCCTCCTCCTCCTCCTCCTCCTCCTCCTCCTCCTCTTCCTCCCCTCCTGGCAGGCCCCGGCGCAGGCCCTGGCGGCGCCGCTGCTGCCGGCCGCGGGCACCGCGCTGACGGTCGGCGGACCGTAAGCCTCCGGAGCAGTTCGGGGAGGGCTTCCAGCGCCCACGCTGCGCGGAGTCGCCGTCGCTCGTTGTCGTCGCCGTCGCCGTCGCCGTCGCCGTCGCCGTCGACGACGACGACGACGACGACGACGACGACGACGACGACGACGACGAGGACGGCGCCAGGACCAGTTCTTTCTCCAGAGTCGTTTTCTAACAGTCCCGGAGCCCGTGGGCCTCGAGAGCTCCGCAACTGCGAAAAGCCTCAGGACCCGTTTCCCCCTTGTCGAACCAGCGCCGGATCTTTAGGGGAACGAGCAATGACATAAAAATAAAATTTCGGAGGTCCGCGCGGATTTCCCGGATCCGCGCTGGCCCCCTTGGCGGCGCCTCTGGCGCCGCCCCTGGAGCGCTCTCCGCGCCAGGGAGGGTGTCCAGCGCCGATCCAAGAAATCCGCGCGGACCTCCGAGCTTTTATCAGAAAGAGGGGTGCCCGAACGCGATTACTTCTTCCCCGGGCGCGCGTTGGCAATACCGAAGGGCTCGCCTCCAGCACGGGATATTTATGTCCTGGCTTGTTTCCCTAATCTTGGCTACCTCACGTTGGTGGGGCGAGGAGGAGGAGGAGGAGAAGGAGGCGGAGGAGGAGGAGGAGGAGAAGGAGGAGGCGGAGGAGGAGGAGGAGGAAGAGGAGGGGCGAGGAGGAGGAGGACGAGGAGGACGGGGACGAGGGACGAGGACGAGGACGAGGAGGAGGAGGAGGAGAGGAGGAGGAGGAAGGAGGGAGGAGGAGGACGAGAAGGACGAGGAGGCGGAGGGAGGAGGAGGAGGAGGAGGAGAAAGGAGGAGGAGGAGGAGTGGCGAGGCGGAGGAGGAGAGGAGGAGGAGAGGAGGAGGAGGAGGAGGAGGAGGAGGACGAGGAGGAGGTGCCGAGTGCCACGGCCGACGCCTCCCCTCGAGGTGGGGGCGCTGTGGCCTCGCCGTGCGCCGCGGGGCGCCGGCCGGCCGCTGCGCGGGGCCCGGGCAGCGCCTCGCGCCGGCGGGCCCCGGCGGGCGCGGCGCGGCGGGCCGCGCGGGGCGTCGCCGCGGCGCGGCGGCGCCGCGCCTGGGCGCACGCGCCGCAGGGCACGCGGCGGTCGTCAGAGGAGGAAAGGGCTTGGGTGTACAGCCAGACATCGGGCGCCTCGAAGAAATTGAGGCGGAGGTTTTTCATAGTTTTCGGCCTCTCGGGGCGCCGGGCCTCGGGACCGTCAAAAAACGACTCGGGATGAAAAACCGGTCCCAGGGAAGTCTCGAAAAGATCGAGACGTCGGATGTCGGGGTAGCCAGGACCCCGGGTGAGGGGCCCCGGTCAGTGGTAGGGCCCTGGAGCCCCGAAATCGGCCAGAATCACTAAACCAGGTCTGCCGTAGCTGGTCTTTGTTCGGGTGATGGCAGTTCGGGTTAGTGGAGCGGGGCCAGAGGGCGTCCCCCAGTACACATCACTAAACCAGGTCCCACTAAACCCAGTTCGGCCAACGCCTGAAAGGCACCCATATCGCTACCCTTCCCTAGTTTTCCCCTTTTTGGGCCTCCTGAGAGGCCCTCGTCGCCACCGCTGGATTCGCCTGGAAATTCGGGTCAGGACGCACCCCGGGAGAGGTCCGGAGAGTAGCGGTATCGGTACCTTTTTGATCTCCCCAGGTCGCTGGGGTGTCAAGCAGTGCCGAGGCGTGGTTGCCTTCGGGGGCGGCCGAGAGGCGGGTGGTGACCAGGGGGGAGTGGATAGCATGGCCGACGCCATGATGTCCTCCCAGATGTCATGGCGCTTCCTCTTATTTTGATACGTCCCCAGGCGACCCCTGGGCCGCGCAAGTGCCTCGGGCCATGCGTTGCGAATCCCTCTCTTGGACGCCCCCGATACCTGCCCATGGGGCCCAGCAAAGAAGAATAATGCTCTAAGCACGGTCCGTGGTTTGCACGAGATGCTCCCGGGGCACTTTTCTGGCTGAAGCAGTCTTGCTTGAACACGTCGCCTAAACATACTGGCGGTCGCTGGGGTGGGGTCGGCTTCGCGTCGGAGTGGCCCTTCGCCGGGGTGGCCAGGGGCAGCGACAGGGGGGGACAGGCTTAAGTCGGGCCTGTCCCCCTACAGGAGGAGTATTCAAAAATGGTCAAAAAAATAATACGGGGATTGTTGTTTGAGCATTTTTGGGCATCTTTTGAGCATTTTTTGTATATTTGTTATTTAATCGCTTCGCTCATTCCGTCGGCCCTGGAGCGCTATATGGGGCCTCTTGGGGCCGTATTGGGGGCTACTTGGGGGCTTCTTGGTAGCGTCTTGGGGCTCCTTGGCTGCGTATTGGGCTCCCCCGGGGCCATGTTTTGAGTATTTTTTGTACAGTTTTTATTTTTCGTCCTAAATCCCCCTGTAGGGGGACAGGCCCGACCTAAGGATAGGCTCAGGAGGGGGTACGCACCGATCCCCCATCGCCCACCGACTGCCGGGCCAGACTCGCGGTCGGTGTCGCCGCGGACGCTGCCCATCTGGAGCATAAGGCCGCCTGCTCGGCAGCGGCCGCCGTCGGCTTGGGACGACTTCTATAGTTGGGCATCGTGTCGATGTGTTCCATGCGGTAGGTTCGTGTCCTGTCGACGCGGCGGCGACCACGCCGCGGGCGTGTAAGGTTGGAAGCCGCTGGTGGCCCAGAGGCGGCCAACATGGAACGATCTGGCGATCGAGAAGCCGCCCATCGTTTGAGGTTGCGACCCGCGCGGTTTCAGAAGTCAACGCTGGAGTCGTCAGCACACGAACCTACATCCCTCCGGGAAACTTAACGCAGGTGTTTCCCGCACCGCGTCTGCACCTCCAGACCCCCAGATTTCAATGTCGATGCCGAAACGCCTGATCGTCGGCGTCCGCGGACCGTGCCGCGCGCGCAACTGAACATTGAAACTCGGGGCGACGGGGGTTGGGCAGAGCTTGCGCTGAGTTTCGCGGAGTGTTATACCGTGCCCACGCCCGCTTGCGGCCGAGGCAGCCAGCGGCGCGCCAGCCCTTCTCGTGCGCTCCTCGTGGTCCTCCTTCTCCTCCTCCTTCTCCTCCTCCTCCTCCTGCTGCTGCTCCTCCTCCTCCTCCTCCTCCTCCTGCTCCTCCTCCTCCTCCTTTTCCTTCTCCTCCTCCTCCTCCTCCTCCTCCTCCTCCTCCTCCTCCTCCTCTTGCCTCCTGCCTCTTGCCTCCTTCCTCCTCCTCCTCCTCCTCCTCCTCCTCCTCCTCCTCCTCCTCCTCCTCCTGCCTCCTGCCTCCTGCCTCCTGCCTCCTCCTCCTGCCTCCGGCGTCCAAACGATCCACGGCCGCCGGCCGCCTCGGCCGCGGGCGGGGCCCGCCCAG